TTTTAAAATAGTTATCTTTTATTATTCTTGTTAAGATTATTCTATAATAAGAAAGCTTATTTAAGAAGATTAAAAGACATCGCTACAAAAATTATTAATAAGTAGGTAGCTTCTATGTCTTAGTACCTAAAGAATGTTATAGATACTGACGAACAGCTTACAGAGCATTGATACAGTCAAAATAGCTCAATTTTAGATGTTAATGACCTCTAGATAGTTGTTAATATAAGCGTTGAATACGCGAGGATTTTTTATGTCATCACCTTTTTTTTCCTACTGCGTGGCTGGATGCCTAGCTTTCTCCTTTCGTTGTCACTGTTTACACAGCGCCTAAGCTACCTCATACTCGCGCTGCATATAGATATTGTGATCTAGCGGCGGCACTGGTTCCATCTGCACGCCGTCCATGGAGACCTGGTATCCACTCGACCCGTCCTTGCCCGCATGGTGGAACTTCCGTGGCAGTGAGGCTTTGCTGCCGCTCTTGGGCGTTTGCTGGTTGTAGCCTGCCATCAAAGGCAGGGTACTGCGGAGCATCGACCAGAGGTAGGAATCGGTGTATGTCTGCTTTTGTAGGAGGGGGCGGAGAATAGGGAGGTTGGCGCTGACCACGGCGAGAGAGCTCTCGATCATTGTCCACGCGAATACAGGTGTGGTGAAGTCTACGCTGGTCGTTAGATTGCTTGTGGCGCAGTTAAGGGGGAAGAAGCTTCGTACAAGTAACGTCATGTATATTGGCAATGAAGCCACGACCGACATTAATAAACGTCACGAAGCGAGCGATTCCAGCTCCACATACGCTGCCAGATGTTAGGACGATGTTTATGGAGCTTTGAAGTGGGGCGCTGACACTGCTCCAAGTAACAGTATACATGCCACGGCTAGCTTGTTCTTCAGTGGCATCTGCAGCTGCCAAATGATCGGAATAGGTGACGATAAGATCATTAAGTCAGTAATGAAGCCGGTGGTCGATACAGAGTAATAGAAGGAATATGCGTCAACACAATTTACTCTTGGATACTCAAATGTCGTCCAAAAGGTCACAGGGTCTTTGCATTGGAATGCAGTCGCGAAGAAAAAGGATACCGCCCAGGCTATGATAAGCACTATTAGGGTTGTGTTTATAAGCTCGAAACGCTTGTGAATTGAGAAAATCCGCCGGTAGAAGAATAAGACTGAGGTCTTGCTGCAGCCTAGCGACGCCAATGATAGGAGTTGTAGAACATAGTTGCACTATTAACATCAGCAAGAGCTTTCTGGAATCGATTTGAGCTCCCACTTTCTCGTATGTGGCACGAGAATTATTGTATATTGGCCCTCCTGGTCCAATTTCGAGCTTTTGATGTTGTGCCATCTCTCCGAGCGCAGTCCCTAGGTGAAGGGAGTCATGCCTTGTCGTTACAAGAAAATGTCCTACAACTCACCAACTATCATTGTCACTGCTATTCCTACCACGCATAGCTTGGAAATTGTCAGTTGACGGTAGAAACCTTTGGCCTGTTGGCGAGTCTCACCGTTGCCGGTATTATGAGCGCATCGTCAATGCCGAGCTTGGTTTTGTTGACTCTACGAGACCAAAATCTCAAAGCAATTGAAATAATTGACAGGAAGGCGAATAAGACCGCGAGTGTGACGAAATTGGCGACGTTCCACGCCATGACGTTTCGTATGACATGGGCAGACAAATTTCTAACTACGAGAAGACTGTAGGACAAGGCGATGGCGAGAAGGGCAGAGGAATTCTAGACAGGCTGGGCCAATGTCCGGGCGAAGCGCAATGACTTGTCTGAAATATATTTCATGCGTTATACCTACCTTTCCTCTTGTCAGCGGTGTGAATGGTGTCAGTCGTTAGGTTGATTTATCACATAGGGTTGCACAAAGTCGCTGCCCATGTCGAGTCCGAGGTATGCTTGACCAGGGGTTGGTGGTCTGTCGTGCGTATATTCTGTTGGGAAATATGACACGACAAGTGCACGGTGGCCGAAACTCAGGCGACGAGGTTCAGAAAGGATCGAAGGATCGAAGGATCGGCCATGGGGGCCAATGCGAGTTGAAAGCCTATCAGTGCATCCTTCTGGCGAAGCGAGCTTTTGAAATGCCGCTGCCTTGCGAGGCTCTCCGCGCGGAGTCCTCTTCCTTCTTCGGCCGCGTTGCGCATACGCACTATTCAACTGTGATGTGTATGGATGGCTTCAGAGGATGCAAATTACTATGTAAGACATGTGACAGTGCATTGTCGAAGACAAAGTGTTGACCTTCTAAGAGGGCCAATTGGCCGCGTTTCATATGCGTAATCCCTGCGTTTCTACTGCTTCTAATTGGTCAATTTCTAACACAATTTCGTATCTAATTTCGCTGTACAGTACAGCCAATTATACATAGATCTACGCTCTCTACCCCTGTAACTATTAATCAACTTGCTTCTCTACGTATTCTGTACAGCAGATTAATAATCATAAGTCTAATTCGGCTTGTCTCTGGGCAGCCAGATTCGACAGCCAGATTCGATTTCTGCAGATTCGGCAAGTCGGCGTTTCGGGGCTTGGCAATATATGCCCCACCAAAATTGGGTGAGGAGTTTATCACTCAATCCCCCTATGTGAAATATCTTTCAAAGTGCAATACAAAGAGGGTTGCCACAAGATCTATTGCCTATTTGGGACTCTTGATATATTCTATGGTGTTATATCTAGTATCTGGGCCTATTTGCCTCGTTTTGGCTGATCCTGCTTGCCCTCGTGCATAGCCTTGTAGTGCGGAATGCGTTCGGGGAGGTCTATTCAGAGAGGTCCATTCGGCAAAGGTCCATTCGGCGTTTGAGTCTTGGCGGGTTCTTGGCATGACTGCGCCGTAGTAATTTGTATGTAGTGTTCCTAGATTTTCCCAGAGAGATTTCATCTACCGCCATTCATAATTCAAGTTTGCTGCATTTCCTAAACAGGTATTGAGATAGAAATCCTTGATGTTGTGTATTGCTGTTGTCGTTGCTATGGCCACCCCCCTTTGGACCGCCCATCCTGACTGCCCAGAGCATATCAAAGCAGAGCTCGAAGCGCGCGTACGGTCCTTCCCTCCTTCCTTCTTATTGACCCCAACGCCTAGGGAGGTCTTTGATAACCCTGATGTTTGTCGAGAGCGTTTACAGGGCTGGGCCTTATCGCAGGGATTCGCCATCGTCCAAAAGAGTAGTAGCGTGAAGGCAGCGCGGCCGCGATTCGAATTTCGCTATATATATCATGGAGTTAATACTTGTAATGATCGTCAGCTTGAGAGGCACGTTGAGAGAGATAAGGAGGATAGAATTACTAGTCGTCGAAAGCAGGAGGCTACTAATATCAACGCTTATAATTATCCTTATTATATTTGTCTCTCTTATAAGTAAGTTAGCAAGCATGATTCTAGTATATTTAGCTTTATTTTAAATATTTATATTAAAATACTTATATTTATATAATAGTAATTAATCTATTAAGATACAAAAAAGAGTATATTAAGTCGCTTTCTAAGTATTTGTCTATACTAGAATTAAGTAAGTCGCTTTAAATAGCTAATATCTTGTATTCTGTTACTTTCTAAGTGCTTAAACAGATTAGATTTCCTCTTAATTATAATACTTACTATAATATTTGATCTTATATTACTTCTGTTAAACAGAACAAGTTTATAGCGCTTATTATTACTCTAAAGAAGGCAGAATTTATCTTTAAATATCAAATAAAGGAGGAATTTGATTTAGAAACTAGTATAACTATTAGTAGACAGTTATAACAGATTTGATTTACTTATTCTTAGTAAATTTGATATACTTAATAATTTATAATAGATTTTACTCTCTTTATTAATAATACTTTTTAAATAAATGCTCTTAATCTTATACTTATTATTACTACTAATATTATAAATAATAACTTAATATTTATAAGCTCTTTATTATTCGCTTATTTAGAAGTAAAGTTGTCCTTTGATTTTATCTTTAAGAGCTTTAAAAAGCACGTTTTTTGCCCTTCTATCTTAGTATTACATGTTATTATTAGTAACCTAGCTACAGGCTTAAGAGCTTCTATACCTATTTCTCTTTTAGATATGTTTCTTTAATTTTGTAACTAGCATACTATTCAAAACGTTATAAAGAAACTTGCTAATAAAGGCTATTTAAAGAAGATTCGAAAGGAGATAAAGTTATTACTATAGGCCTTTGTTAAGAGTAATTCTTAGCTTGATTTAGAGGCTATTTATGCAGAGATATATTTAAAACTAAGGCTAGATAAGATATAATATCTTAACGAATACTAGGGCCTTAAGGAGTTACAATTTCTGTAAATTCATACTTATAAATATCTGAATTTAGGCGCTTATTTAAATTAATACTCTGAGAGCCTTTACCTTGATATAAAAGATATTCTGAATAAGCAACTAAGTATAAAAGAAGCTACTTAATAGCTAGGACTTATTATGTAGTCAAAATTAAGACAGTTATCTTAAAAGGAGGCTTAAAATAATAGTAAGTTACCTTGTATACTTAATTTAAAAGCGTTTATATTACTAGCAGATACTATGTTGCTTTTTGTTATTTCGAAGATATCCTCTGAATAAGAGGTCACAAAGGATGAGATGAATAAGGGCTCTCTTTATACGTTAAGCCCTCTTACTCTAAATGCGAGATACTTATTCAATTCAGCCTTCCTTGTAGGCACTATCTTACGTAGTCGTTCGAGGATAGTGCTCTTATTCCTTGATCCTTAATACACCCTTGTTAGTGGATTAATAGTGAGCCTATTTATATCGCTAGATGGATACTAATATACTGTACTTTCGCTTTACTAATGTCCCTTGCCTAACATTCTGCCTCTCGCTTATAATACCCTTATATATATATTAATTATTAGCTAGAACTATACGTTTATCTAATCAGGGTCTTTACAAAGAGCTCTCTAGAAGTTGTACATATACGAAAAACGCGTCTTCAGCTTAGGGTAGCATTATATAAAGTTGTATAGCTACTGCTTACTAATAGGCTTTACATAACACGTCTTGCGTAGAAGATCAGCCATATCTCGTACATGATTAATCTAGGGCGGGAATCCTTATGAATCCAGGTTAAGGATATATTATATAAGCGTTTCTTCTTCTGTTAAGGTTAAATTATGTTAGGCGTTACAGTTTTCAGCCTTTAGGGTGCGTCTCTTTATTCAATTATAAAGGGTACTTTGAGGGACATTATATATGTTTATAATGTGTCAAATTAATATTTCTTAATATATATAAATAGCCT